CTCCTGGGGCCCTCTCTAGGGTGCCAAACAGCAGAGCACCTGGGGTGAGCATGAGCTGAGCAGTTATCTTCCACCTGCAGACCTCTTCTATCTCAAGTGCTGTCTGCTTAAGCACGGAGCCAGTTCTCCTGCCTCAGCAGGGGGCATGTTTTCTGTCTTTATGGGAGTGCAGTATGTTCTTTGTGGGGAGGTGACTGAGGACTTTGCACCTTATATGTCTGTGAAGATTCTTCTCCCCTTTCCTGCTCACCCTCTGTCATTTCTGTACTCATGCCTGAAGTGCAAGTGCCATCTCCAATTTAACAGACCCCTGAGGTGCCACCCAGAGAGTGATCCAGGGCAGATACTACCTTACCAGCCTTCAAGTAGGAACTGTAGCTCCTTCTGACTTGCCAGCCTCAGAGACCTTGCCTTGCATGGGCAACAACCACAGCATCTTAGTGCAGAACCTGCTGCACCTCATCAGTTGTTCTCTTATGTGTGAATTTGGGGGCTTCAGTTTCAAAGCCTGGAGCTCCATTTTGCATTCACAAGCCAAATCCAGATTAAAGTACCTGATTGCAGGTGCTCAAAAGCAAAAGAAAAATGTATGGCCATCTCCAAACCTGGTCGCTGCTGGTAGCTGAGCTCACTGTGCCTGTCCCTTTGGCACCCAGACACTGTTAGGACCTACCTGCTTCCCTGCATTCTAATAAGGCTTTATGTTGAAATGCATGGGCCCTGCAAGGAGGACATAAAAGCAAGGTTATTGGATTTTCCTAGGATTTTACAGATGTAGGTGGAATGCAATAAGAACAAATCCTGGCCCCTTTTCTCCCCCACACCTTCTCTACCTGTTGATGAGAGCACCCTCAGTGTTCACAGAGACTGGTAAAAGCCTGCTGCTGGTGGGACCAGCTGTGCCCTAGACCAGGGTGCATGGTGGGCTATTTGCCCAAGTGTCCACCCAGCTCCTTGGGCAAGTCTCATGTCCTGTAATGGTGGGAGAACTGGGAACACCCCACTTCTGAGTCACAGGCACATGCTGCTACACAGACCACAAGCACTTCTAACTCCATCTCTCATTATTGAGTCAAGGCAGATTTCATCAAGCAGTTTTTTCTTAAAACACAAGCCAATAGTTCATGCACACTCTTGAGAGACCACAAAAGACATCACCGGAAAAAAAAGCAAATGCTTATTCCAGGGTGTTCCTGGATCAACAGGAACACAGCAAGCAAAGAACCAGAGACAAGAAAATTTGTACTGTGAGTGGATTGAGCTGGGGAGAAGAACATCTGCCTCCAATTTTTTCAGTTAAACAAGACTGTGACTTTTAATTTAATAAAAACCTTCTGCCTACAACCACAGCTATAATCATTCAAGGTTGGGTGAGTTTAAAACCAGAACTTGGCACCTCTTCAGAAGCTCAGGGTAGAAAATCTTCCCATTTTGACACATGCAGCTGCTGGGACTCAACTGCTGAAAGCAGGAACAAAGCACTGCAGCAGGCCCAGGCTCAGAAGCAAAGCACATGGAGGTCAAGGTCATGGGCAGTATTTACATGAACAGCAATATTGTTGTGCCTTGGTTTTAAAAGCTCTGCAGCTGTTTTGAATCCAGGCCACCTCAGCTATGCAGGTGGCCCCGACTTTATACTGTCAACCTGAGGACACATGAAGGAGCTCAACCCAGTGTGTGGCCTGTCTCCTTTGCATCTCCTGCTCTCCTAGAACAAACGCAGGGGACACAGCAGGGCAGAACATCTGGGCTTCCCATTGCTGGCCAGCACAGAAGAAATAGAGGGGAAGAGAAAAATCCAGCACTGCAGAATTATTGAATTAAACATTCCTGTGGCCAGCACAATCAATACAGCATTGATTGCATTATCAATATTAATATTTAATTCAATTAAAAGGCCCCCAATTTCTTTTTCATTCTTTATAATGTGCTTCCAGATCTTATGCTGCAGAAAAAAAAGTTACATTTTGCCACAGATCATGAATTCCAGCTGGACCCAAACTACAGATGATCTAGGCTTCCCTCCCCTCACAAAATACCTTTTTGACTCCTCTGCCAATTAGTAGTTTCCTAAACTAGGAGGAGCCTAACCCAGCCTCAGACTAGCTGAGGAAAGTAGTAAATCTTTATCAGTTCAGCAAGCTGAGCAGGACAGCCAGCTTAGCTGCCACTTCGCCTCCCGTTTTTAATATATATATTTTAACCCCTATCTCTCTGCACATCTGTTTAGCTTAGGGGGTTATGAGGGTGAGCAGTGTGTGTGCTTGCACAGCACTCATTGTGGCACAGCACTGCTCTTCAGCACTCACTGCAACCAGAGAGAGCCCCAGAGTAAACTCGGGCCTGAGAAAGTGCTACTGTGATTTACAGCACCAGGGAAGAAACCTCTCTGCTTCTTAAGCACCCCTGGATGCTCAGGGCAGATACTGTATCACTATGGCACTGCACAGCTAAACTTCTCCCAGCTGCAGTACACAACCCTTCCAACACCCACCCAAGCAGGATGTGCCAGTCTCTGCTGCACAACAAACCCAGGTACCTGCCAGCCCATTGCCCTGTCACTGCCTCAGCATCTCTGTTCGGTGAGTGGCACCGTCTCTCAGACACCCAGCAGGAGCTGACGGGTCTCTGCGGCTTCTTCAGATCAGACCTCCTGCCAGGAATTAAACTGAAGCACAGAAAATGCCTCTTCTCCATAGGAGAGAAAAAAAAAGAAGAAAGGTGGGAATCTTTCTCTCCCTCCCCCATCTGATTACATACAAAATGTTCTTCTGCTTTGAAGGGCAATTTAACACTAGTTAAACTACCGTTAATCTAAATCAAACACGTCTGGAGAGACAGAACATTCTGCACTGGGAGTAAAACCAGCTGAGTCTTTGTTTCTTCCATCTGAGACACTACTGCCCATTTCCTAGCCAATACTATCTGACTGTCCAAAGGCCTCTTTCTGTAGTTTTTAAAATTGCATTTAAGCTGACTTTGTTGGCTTTTGCAACACACTGCAGTCTGGTTTGGTATCAGAGAGAGAGATTTCCATCACAGTTCTTCCTTGCAAAGTATGGGAGAAAGCCAGAAAAAGAACATGGGGCCAAACTGATGAATACCAATTAAACTCACATGAAATTATTTCAGTTTCCAAGAGGAAAACCAGGAGATTCTCCAGCAACAAAGTACGAAATAGAATCATAGAATCACAGCTAAGAGGAAAAAAAAAACAGCTTTGCTCTTGGTGATCTGTAGGCCCATCCTCAAAAAGACCCTGAGATGCTGCTCTCTGAAGCTGGTTGGCAGTTTAGCTGATCCACAGGCCAAGCTAGAAGAGATGCTACTGCCCAGCAGCTCTATTGGCACTGCAGCACTGGCAGCCACACACTGGCTCTTCCCATTCCCTCTGCCACCCTGACTGGATGAATGGGAAGCAGCAGAGGAAGCACAGACAGGGGCACCCAATGATTCCCAAATCTTCCCCAAATAATACCAACATGTCATTTTTAGCAACACTCATTGGCTTCCATACAGACAACTTTGTCCTAAGCAGCATGTTAGCAAGTTTCATTAGCCAAAGTGCTGATCTGCTGAAGACTGCAGCATAAAACAACTGCTCCAGATCAAATGTGGTCTTGAATTAAGACACCAGACCTAAGCAGGGAATACAACCACCTTCAGTTCCATGCCTAGAATTGTTCCCTTCCTTGAATTATTTCTCTTCAATTGCTCCAGTTCCTTCTATGAGCTTTGCCCAGGTTGATAACTTTGTGCTGGGTCCCACACAGCCAGACAGATCCAACCTCAGCTCAGACACTTGAGATAGAGCAGAAGAAAGGGGCTTGAGTTCAAGCCTGATGCAGGGTGCACAGAAACCAGCTGGGTGAAACACTTCTGACATCTTTGTCATTAGAGAGATGCAAGACTTTGCACCCTCCCATGCTTGTTATTCAGAAGAGGGCTGCCTGAGGACAGGCCCTGAGCACCTCCCAGCTACCTATTACTCATCTGCCTGTTTCCTTAAAACACTTGCAGAAATAACTCAACAACTAGCTCTCCTGCATTGCTCTGGGGAGTCTGTTATGAGCCACTCACTTACACCTCAGAAGTCACTTCTGAATATCTCAAATAACAAACAAATCCTCAATGTTCAGCAACACAGAACAGATTTTATTTTACAGTCAGAGGAACAAAGTCCAAAGATTGCTATTTTAGGTAAGAAAAAGCAATTATATCTTTGAAACAATTAACCAAGTAGAAGTATAAACAGCCAAAAACTATTCCATGACTACATTCCCTGAGATCTACCCAGGACAGTAATACAAGGAAGCAACTTCCATACTCTCAAGTAACTTTCAGTTCAATACACAATCACCAAATGCAACCCCAAAACCCCACACAAAAGAGACAGAAAAGCAAAGCAAACCAACAAACTGGCCAGGCTTCATATATTCTCCCTTAGACCACAGGCTGCAGCCATTCAATAAGATTATACAGTATTTATTCCATATTTTTTCTTCTATTACCTATTAGTGATGTTAGCCAGATGTCACCAAACTCCAGACATTGGTACTGAAGGTGTTACCAGCTTTCTCAAATTAACTAATCACGAGATAAACAGATATATTTCCTTGTCAATGGATATTAAGCAGAAAAGAAATGGGGTCATGCTCTATCAAACAGGAAGGGCTGGTTTAAATCAAGAATGGAAAAGGTTTCATTCTGGAAAATCTTAGTCACAGAATGTCAGTGATGATTACACTTCAGTTAAATGCAAAAATAAAGCCTACTAAACAAGCCAATACACATTTCTCAATGCAGTGTGTTTCTGTCTCTCCTCCACTGTAAATTCATTTATTGCAACATACCAGGGATCTTAGTAACTCATTCACATGGCCAAAGCTCCCCTGTATTCCTAAGTGAAAAACAAATCATAGCTTCAAACCAGTGTTTACCAGAGTGTTCCAACTGCTCAAGAGTCCCATTTTAAAACCTTGCTTATGAGACACTGAGCTTCATTTTACAGGCAGGAGCTGAAATGACATCACACAGTCTATAAGCCAGCTGGAAGGGGCCATCCAGACTTTGCCCTGATTAATTTTCTCCGGCTTGAATTGAGAAGACACATCATAGATTACATACTGAGTGCAAAATCTCTGGTCAGAAGTAGGGGCTGCATGGTAAGCCACTGTATTGATGGTCTGTGTCACGTCACTGTCTGGTTTGGGCTTTCTAACCAGAATTTGTCCTCCTGCTGCTTTGACCAACTCCATAAGATCACTCTTCTGGTGATGCTTGAAAGATCCCAAAAAATAGAAGTAGCATCCATCAAACAAGTGAGGCAGCTAAGTGAAAGGAAAAAAAAACACAGTATAAATACAGGATTTCACAATTGTGCACACAGGGGAAAACAGTGGAAAGGAACAACCAGTGCCTTAAAAAAAAAAAAAAAATTTAAAATAACCAACATGGGAAGCTAGAACAGTAATTAACACGTAAGCTCCTCAGTATAAGCAATCAAGAAAAGTTTGCTTACATGGTAAATTCTTGCTTATGTTTAAATATTTTCCTGTACAACAGGGTTTAACTGTGTGCTAAGAATATTTACAGTACTGTTGTGTTTCATGAAGTTCTCCAGTGTAATCCAGAAAGTAACCAGAAATTATCCCAGTTAAATATAAAAGCGGCCCTATATGGAAACAAGTAATAAAAAAACCATTTTTCTTTCAACTTCCAGATAATTTCAACCAGGTTCTAAAGCTGAGCAGAGGGCCAAAGCAGCATCACTTCTGTCCCATCCAACCTCTTCCACTGCATGTGCTGTAGCACAGCATTCCCTCTGACAAGGTTACAGCAACATATTCACTAATAGAGAAAAATGACAGCTTTATGGGTGTTCACAGTTCTTTCCATCACCTTGCACTTAATCAAATCTCTGTACAAGACCACATTAAAATTTTACATCTCCTGCACCTGCATACGTGGCAAAGGGCAAAGCCACACGAACCAAAGGTCATTAAGATAATCTGTCTCAAGCAATAAAACCCACCAGCTGTTCTCTGTTGAGCCGACCCCTTTGTGGGCCACCTTGGATTTCATACTTCTCTTCTGGCTCTCGTACTGTGGTTTGCAGACAGGCTTGTACCCCTACAAGGCAACAAGACAGGCCAAGATTAGAGATCCCAAGTTTCAGCAGAGGCTTCCGTGTAATTTTAGGGTCTAAAGAGTCTCACTAGAAGAAAAGGATTAGCCACAATGCAAAACATAGTATCAAAGCTTGTGTGCTTTAGCAACTTGCTTTTAAAGTTAAAGAAATGTACAGCAGTGGTTGAATGCGTCAGTTGGATGGAGAGAAGCATTATAACACTAAAATCAGTGCTGTAAACACTAGGAATTATTAGCTTGTCTTCTTAGCCACTAAAGGTCAACCACTTAATGTCACATGTCAAATTGCTGATCTTTTGGAAGCTTGAAGCCAGCATGTAGAAACCAGCTCTGCTGTTATGAAATGGAAGCAATTGCCTGATAAAGAGCAATTACAAAGCAAGCAAAAAGCTGTTTCTGAACACTTATGGCCTCAAATAACAAATCAGATGGGATTTCAAGGTCTCCAAGATCAGCACAAACCGGGGATTTATGCTAGGCTTTAACAGTGGCATTGTTTTTCCTTACCACTGCTGGATAATGAGATTGTCTTTCAATGTGTTTTTACCTTGTTTTAAGGCTAGTTATCTTTTCCAACATGGAACATGCTGATGCTAATGCATGGCTAACATCAGTCGCAGGTGCTACCTGCCCTCACTTTGGGAAGAGAAATGGCTGTGGTCAATCACTCCAGGATGGAACATTTTGCCTGCACGTCCATTGTACTCATTAATAAAAATTACCCCAGAAAGAAAGTTTGCAAAGCTGATTTTGCAAGCTGTCCCACGAGGATTGACAGTGTTGTCATTCCTGAGGCAACTGATTCCCACTGTGTAAATATGGAACCCACAGTATTAAACAATACACAACCTAAACAAAACCTAGACTAAAATGTGAGGGGTTGATTTGAAAAAGGGAGAAAGCACAAGACTATGAAGAGAAGTATCACTGACAAAGGTACTAGGCTACCATTGCAACCAAGAGATAGGAATGTCTAATCTAGAGAGATCTCCAAAGCCAATTTTTAGCAATTTACCACCAGTTCATACAAATTCACAAAATGCAATGGGAATTCATGCTTTAGTTACTACAAGTCCTCCAATCCTTACATCAAAAAGGATAAACCCATACAGAAAACCACAACTGGCTGAATACTATGACAATAAATATCTCCCACCACTTGTTCATTCTTTCAAGGAGAATTCACATGAACTCCTACAAAACTAAGACAACGTAGTCATGTTTTTTTCCAGAAAAGCAACCTAAATATTCCTTTTGGTAACAGCAATGAATACTGGTAACTTCTTTTCAAAGTCCTCATAGCTCAAAAATAAATCTGAAAGATATTTCAAGGATTTTTATCATCTCAACAAGAGTTCCTCTGTTAATTTGTCTCTCACACAGCTATTCTTTCCTTCCAAAAAAATACAGCTGTTAATGGATGCCACTTACAATAAAGGAAAAACTCTCATCTCAAACCAGAAAGGTCCATTCATTAAGAGTATGTTTTATTTCAATCTACCATCAAAAGCTCAATTTCAAGGACTTTCACTCCGAGATGGGGTTTTTATAGAATCACTACATCACAAATGGAGCATCCAGTGCCAGCTTCATTAGTAAATGAAGCAAATTTGATAGGAAAGTAATAAAAGATTGAATGAATACAACAGACTAGGTCTTTGTTGCTTTCCTGAAAGAAAAAAAATTAAGTCATGAAAATGAGTGTTAGTGGAATGTCTATTTTAGCAGAAAACACATAGGTTATGTCTGTTTTGCATACATGTTTCTGTCCATTTTACACTCCCAAATCCTCTTAGAAATCTGTATGCCTCAAAATCCATTGTCACACAATTAGAACCCTGCATGAGGACTCATTCACAAGTGTCCTCTTTTCATTGCATCTATAAGAACAACAAGATAAATGTGTTTCCTTAAAAAAATGGAAATATGAGAACAGACCCTTTGTCTATGCCAGTGATGGCATCATCAGCCTTCTCATTAATTTTAACTTTTCCTAACCACCCAGTCTTAACAGTTTTATGGCATAAAAGCTGTGTTCCACATAGGATAAAAAGCCCTGGATATAACTTCTCAGTGCCCAGATGTTTCTCTCCAAAATAAATATGTTAAAAGGCAACACTTTTGGGCCTATATGCACAAAACTTTGTGGAACAACAGACTCTGGTTTTTGGTGATGGAAAAATAGTAAGTTATCAATTTCTGAACATATTTTTCATGCAAGATGTAGAAGCAGAACTTGCTCTGACTCATTGGTCTTGTCATATTTGATAGATGGTTTTCAGAACCATTGTGTTCAGGGACATTCAAATAGACTATTAATGTGCAGATAAGAAAAAGAGGAAAGAAAGTACCTGGAATCCTCAAGCTTAGAAGAGATGGTGCTTCAGGCTTCAACATATTTCATGGCACCCTTACTATCAAGAGCACAACTAATTCATAGTAAGAATGTTACTTGGAAAGAGACAAGACACAGAGTAACAGTGAAAGGAAGGCCTTGGGCACAAGAAAAAGAGGCAAACTGCCTGTCATGTGTCATCAGAGTCATGGTCTAGCTGTATATTCAGAAAACTGATGCAGTTAGCAACCAGTTTGAGGAAGGTGATTATACCCTAAGGTGAACAGTCAAGGACAACATCTATCCATGGAGGAAGGTTTCCTACCAAGAAAAAGGAAGCTAAAATAATTTAAGTGATGGAGACCAATGTCCTTTATCTGCAGACTTTGTTCACACTAATTTCTTCTCAAGTTGTCCGTTTATCTTCAGCAACTCCTGCATACAAGAAGTTTTCTATTATAGAATTTAAGGCTTCACATATCATATTAAAAAAAAAAAAAAAAAGTGACACAAAGAAGGGAACTATCCCCCATTCTTATATTTGAGATAAAATGACAGAGGGCTCAAGCTGAGTTTCTACCTAATTTATTATGTATTTGTCTAAACAAAAAGTTATCTGCCCATTCCTTTCCCCTCCTGTTCTCACAAAACTTAGTGTCAAGTTAAGTTGCTTCTAGATAATTTATTTTGCTTTACCATTTTGAGATGCAGTGACTCCAAGTGGATGCAATAGGTTCCCAAAGACATAATCAGTTTGGGCTGCATTAAGGAGTAATTTGGAAGCTTGAGGCAAGCACAAGCTTGATCATTCTAAGTCAGAGGTCTAGTGCCCTTTGACTTCAAACGGGATCCATGTTAAATAGATTCCCAGAACTGGTGAGATTACACACTCTCATTTGTATTGAAAAGCCACCAAGGAGGACTTGATGCCAAGACACTACTGAAATGAAGAGACTGAAGAAAAAAGATTTACTATTAACCTAATTAAAGTGATCACGTGACACCATCACTACACCTTCTGAAGCTGAGATGGACATCTTACACATTTCTGCAAAAAAAAATTTCACTGGTCTGAGTATCAGAAGGACAAGGATATCCTTAAAGAAGCTCTCTCAAAATGAAGGAGAAAGTAAACTTGCCTCTTGAGAGGACATCTCCAATTTTAGGAAGGGCTTAGAGATCAGTTACCTTGTTTTCCTTCCCATATTCCCAGGCTGTGCATTCTGTACAGGCAAGCCTGACTAAAAATCTAGACTGTTCTGTTATAAAATATGAATATTCATCTTAGGATCTCAGCCAATCTTGATTTATTCCTTGATACTATTGCCAATAAGAGCTGTGGACCTTCTAGGTTGGAGGTTAATCAAGTTTATTCATTTATCCCTAAAGAGGGTGATCATTGCAACTATGCTTTAATGGTTCTCTAGCTTAATCAGAGCAGTGGGATCAACTACCCACAAAAGAGAACCAAGGCAAGTGGGATTTTTTATTTCACACAGACTAGTGGGGTTTTTTTGCAATGCCCAGTTCAAATGTGCAAGGACTCATTAATAAAGCTTGCCTGACAGAAGACATACTGGGGCAAGATGGCATGTGCAGAGGGGTCATTCTTTCCTAGGAATACAGAACATTACAAGTTTAAAAGCCTCCTAAATAGCCAATTTCACACTTGTAATTTGTAGATATAAACAAGATCATTTGCACCAAATTCTAGCAAAAAAAAAAAATTGAGCCTGCATTAAAGTCCTTAGAAAATATTGCAGAAAAAGGTTTTAGCTTAACATGACTGCATTTTAGTTTGATGCCACCACATTTGGCAGGGAAAATGCTGCTTTTTTTTTTCCCCTCATTAGCAAGATCAGTAAAGCATCACTACTTACAATGATCCTTATTACTTCACTGAACAGCTGCCCCTACCCTCTCACCTTCCAGTATATGAGGAGCAAAGGTTAAAAGGGTGTAGTTTCTAACAGTATCATTAATTGACCTTTGATACAACTGTAGCTTCTAGTACTGGAAATAATGGGGGGAAAAAGAAATAAGCAAAATTTAAACCCTATAATCCTTATTCGTTTAAGTATTATTGGTTTATAATGAAACTAACTGCATCAGCAAAAACAGTTTAAACAGGATGAAGTACAAAAAAGGGCTGGGTGCCAAGAACAAGTTGTAATCACCCACAGACACCCAGGAATAGCTCTCAGTAACTCAATTAGCCTTAGTGGAGTTTTGTTGGATTTGCATTAATAAAGCAAAGAACAGGAGTTAGTCCCAAAAATCTCTTACAGCAGCTAAAAGTAATTTAGAAATACACGATGACAACAAAACCCATAAAATACTACAGATCTATGATCTAGTAGAAATTGCAACTGAAATTTCCTCAGCTCAGTCTGCACTGGGTTTTAAGACTTCCATGCAGATTAAGTAAAACCTGATGAGATTATTTTCCTAGAAAAGGAAGAAATCAGGACAGAGAGAAAGCCTGAGGGGAATTTGGCATGGCTAGCTTCAATTTGCTTTCATCAAGGCATTATGGGTCTCTACTACAGCACAGAAAAGAATATTTATACTGTCTTTTACATGCTTATAAAGTAATTTTTAATTCACAGATTTTCATGGCGTGAGGTAGAAATCTCACATGATTAAACAAGAGTAGCCCATTTTTCCAACACATGGAAATGCCACAAGATGCTTCAGAGACTTAAAAAGAACCTGCTTAAAAGCAGTAGTTAACAAATTAATCCAGGTGTTATTTATTAAACATGATGGAGCAGATGCTTAGGAAGTCTGCAAACATCAGTTCCCAGAAGGTGTAGTATGAAAAGCATTACTTCACTTAAACCCTCAAGTGTCTTGTCTTCTTTAAAACCCACTTTTTGCCACAGCTGTTTTCTAGACTGATCAAAGTGACTAGAGGTAGCCATTCCTAAGGTCAGGTGGAATTCCACTGGAAGTGCTCATCCCCTGGATGCCATCACAGGCTTTTAAATGAATGTGGTAATATTTCTCATTCCTTTTCCTTACAATGGGCTTCCTTAATGCAATGTTTTATTCAAACCCAAAGTGAATAAAGGACTCTCTAAATATGAAACCTCAGTATCTGGATAGCAGAACAGGTCTGCAGACCTTACTTCAAACCAACCCACTTCCTAGCTCTGCAGACAGAAGCAAACACCACATTTAAGACATTCTTGCCCCCACTTTCTCTTCTGCGAACCCCATCAGCCTCACAGTCTAAATTTGTCCTGATTTTGAAGCAAAACTGTTCCCTTTCTCCAGAAGGTGGGAGGGCAGAGGTTCAGCCTCTGCTGATGTGAAACATTCCACTCAGCTGTACACTAAATGCAACCAGAACATGCACACACACATTACCACCTCCCACAGAACTCCAAGTCCTTTTGTAGAAAGATACAGCCACAAAACAAGGATGAAATTCAGAAGTTTTTAGCTGTTCTAAGAAGGGAGGGCTTTGCTGAGTATCAACCTGTGATCTAAAATATGGAAGCAAGACAGTCCAGCCTGAGAAGCAGTCAGCTCCAACAGCTTTGTACTCCTCTTGTCTAAGAGCCTAAACAAGGATGGGCACATTGCTCCAAGAAATTCAGAAAGATGTTTTTGCCTTGAAATGTCAGTCATGCAATCCCCTAGCTCTTCCAGTCAACTCTCAGTTGTTCCAAGTCCTTGCAGGAAAAAAGCAGAGGGGTTTTTTTTTGCATTCTTTTGAACGATCAGAGCTGAATCACTGCTGCTGCTTCAGGTAAGCAAAACAAATGAAGGAATAAGCAATCAGAAGCTTAGTTTTCTGCCAGATATTTCACTGCAAAGACTGACATGAGCTTGTTTCAATGCTTATCTTCACCAAGATCATTTTTCATTCCCTGCTTTACCAGATGACAATTTGAAAAAAAACAAGCTGAAAAGCTATTTAAGGCTTCTGCTGGTTTTAATTACACTATTCTATGCAAAAAAAAAAAAAAAAAAAGGAATAGTGATACTTGAATCTTTTGTCTCTGCCTACTTGCAGAAGAATAATTATATACTTTGTGCCCTATTAGCATCCCAGAAATAATGAAGGCAATAAAATAATGAAACCAACGAAAGATAGAGCCAAGGGCAAGGAGCACAGTGACAGCATCTCAATTGAATTCTGTGCTGCTTTGAAAGTGGATATATTGCTGACAGGGTGTTATAGATGGAAAATATGGAACTGCAACTGGTGAGGTAAAATTTTTCTTCTGTAAAGATCTAGTACTGATCAGTGATGACATCCTTCACATCCTCACCTTCTACCTGAAGACCGTCTACCTGAACCCCAAAACTGAAGATATATTTAAATCTTGACTCTCCCATAATTAGAGGCCTTACATTTAGCTCAGACTCTGTTGGAAAATTCCATGTTACCTCTCTGGATGCTTTATCTGTGTGTACATACACACGTAAATGGAAGCATCCTAGAATTATGCAAGAGAAGGAAATTGCTTTTAGTTAGAGAAACACAGCTTGAAAGCCTGCTATAATGAAAGAGTTAACATCAGAAACACACTCTTAAGAGAAATAGTGTTTTTTGCAAGAGGGCAGTAGTTTTTTTTAAAGCGGTATAGTTATGTGTCATCTATAAATACAACTTTAGAAATAACAGTCAAATGAAGCTTACCTTGGAGTAAAAAGATTTCAAATACTCCCTTATGCACAGTCAGCATTTCATTAAGTACTACATTCAGCTTTGTTTTTTGTATATTTTAGTGAAGTTTTTGAACGTGAATCTACTTTAAGTGAATCGTTTAGAACACTGAACTATAAGCAACTCATTCAATTTATTTATAGTTGGTTTGACAGAAGCCAGGATACACACACACTTTTGGAAGTTTATTTGCATCACATTTAAAGAAACTTATCCAAGTAGAAGTCAAAAAGCCAAGATAAATAAAGAGAGAAAATATGGAAGAGAGAAGTGAAGACCTCTTTTTCCTAGACAAATGTTCCATCAGCAGGAGTCTCATTATTTGTTATAACAATCTTTAACTTGTAATGACTCTGAAGAAGACTAATAACAGACTGGTGGGAACAGATGGAGTGGTGCTGTTAATTATAGGCACTTAGCTGCATCAGACCCCATGAGTTATTACTAACATTTCCCACTAGGGAGGAGAATCACTTGCTTTTAAGTAGTATGTTGCTTACTAAGCTGGGAGCATTAGCAGTTAGGATTGTACTAATCAGTACTAACAACATAAAACTCAGCTGCAAACAAAAAATATTAAAATATTCCCTGAATAACCTCTACACTGTTTTATTTACTTATTTTTTTTTTTCTTTTCCAATCACTTCTAAATACAAAACTTCTTCCACAAAGATTTAAACTCAGGTCTCACTAGTTACATCTTCCTACAACTCAGGTGAAGTTTCCTTAGCAGATGTGTAGCCAAAAGGTAAAATGAAATACAGGAAAACCACCCTAGCACACATGAAAAAAAAACTGCTGAACTGAGTGAGCCAAGAACCTGCAACGTGATTCACCACAGAAACAGATGATTCAGTCTTAAACAGCTTATGATTCCAGAGCACCTCAACACACCCTTTCCAACTACACAATCCAAACAACACTTCTGGGCATTCTGAGTTTCTTGCTGCATCCCTACTTCCAAACAAGAAACCATCTCCCCTCTGCTCATCATCACAGTGTCTGGAGGTTATTAAATCCATCTGCTTGCTTAAGCATAAACAGTATTTCTTCATGTTACACATTCAACAAGAAGCTACCCCTATTTGGAAGAATCACAACACAAAGACAACATGTTGTCCTTTCAAAAATGCTCATGGAGCCACTGTAGGTTACAGAAAACATTTCTGACCTTGGAAAAAAAAATAAAACATGGAACAAATCCACTGTCTGGAAGTCAAATGAACACTGGGAAAGAATGAGTCCAATGGTCAAAGAGTCTGATGATGTGCTTTATTTTAAAAACTAGAATGCAGCTTTTGAGGCTTAAAGCAGTGCCTTCATAGCCATTAGTGCCTGGAAAATTTAGACTGTGAAAGAATCCTTATATTCTAATATTTAGTCACAGTACAAAACTGGAATTAAATCTGTCTGAGTTTTCCATGGATAATTAACTCATTTGTAGTATACTTATTAGTTAAAAGGACTTATCTACAAAGGTCAAGGGGAAGAATATGGTTTTTACAACTTCTGTGAAAGAAGATACCAAGAAATGCATTTGTAAGAATAAATAAAAACCAGACTTTGGGGTGCAAGCCCACAGAACAGCTGTACAACAAAGCACACACTATATAAAAAGAAATGACAGCCTGCATGAAAGATCACATCAAAACAACTACTTGTGTGCTAAGGGGTCACTGCAAATCATCTTGGAGGTTACTATTTTAGTTGGAGAGCACTCCAGTCTGCAGGGCTCACAGAAATGGGTACTGGAAGTCACACACACAGCTGATCTGCCTGAGCCTGTGACTGCAAAGAGCCTGGTGAATTTCTCAACAACTAGAGAACTTGTAATAGAAAGTACAAACAGGGGTTATGATCAGCTAAGCAGCATAACTTTAGTTGCAAGTGCAACTTCCAACAGATGCTTATGCGTAAATAGGCAACACCTCACCTTCCTACAGACCTTAATCACAAAAGCTTCCTAGCAATTTCAATGGAAGCTGCTTAAGAGAAATCCAATAATTTAAAGCATTCCTTCCTCCTCTCCCAGGATATTTTCCATAGGCTTCCAAATCACCCTCAATGAGCAATGAACAAATTCACTCCTCTCTGATATTTAGGGTATGACCTACCTAATACATCTAATAATTAAATGCACACATTTGCCAAGAAAGGAGTAGTTGTATTTAATTAAATCTCTTGTCATTCAGGAGATTAAAAAACAAAACCCTCACACTTTATGTTAAGCTATTAGGGCAGTTGCTGAGAATTAAAATTCTCTGGAATCAGACCTACAACTTCTGGTTAAAAAGACCAAGGAATCCCATATATTTAGTACTTACATTCAAACTTGAGGACCCAACATCCAGTCAGAACAGCCATCATGCATTTGACAGTACTTGGCATTGGAACATCAGGGATAACAAGATGAGTTACTAGGAGAAAGATTACATCAGTAGAACTAAAAGCACATAAAAATCAGAACCATGCCTGGCTGAAAAACCATCAATCACCATTTAAAGAATAAATAGCCTATAATAATTTAAAAACCACTCTTTATTATCAACCACTCTTTCCAGCACAAGTATGTGATTTTTGAGACTAAGACACCAGTAAGTAGAAGAGCTATTGGAAATTTTGTGAGTTTCAATATGTACTTGCTGTGAAAAAGGGAAGCCATGTTTTTGCAGTTCTAAGCTAACACTTAAATCTTTAAAGGAGGCTCCTGTTTACAGAAGGGTTTTTGGTCCTTTTAAAGTTATTTAAGAGTCTGACTATGGGATCTCCCTGCAAATAGAACTCAACTCACAATTCTGGGGTTAGTAGTCAGGGTGTCAAAGATTGCAGGGGGAAATCACTTTGCCTTTCTTTCATAAGGGGAAGCAACGCTTTAAAGACAAAGTAATAGGTAGGATAAGACAAGATTCCCCCATCCTGCAAAGGGAACAAAAAAGACCCCCAAGCCTCATAAATTGGCTCCATTGTCTTAATGAAGAACAATACTTGAAGGAAGGTAGCACGTGAGAAGCAATTTGTAAACTTTTAGCCAGATCCTTCTAAAGGAATCATCTCCCTTTGGTTCAATTATGATAAAAAGATAGAAACCTGTCAGGATGTCTTATACAAGCAGGGAGCTTAAAGTTGGTAAAAGAGGTGTAAAGAGAAGAGGTCTGTCAGGAGGACTTAGATATTTTAAATAAGACAAAATACTGTCAAATTGTGGCTCCCCTAGAGTGTCCTGCCTCAGTAACTGGGCAGGTTTTACATGGGTTTACATGCAACAACACACAATCTAGGGCTGTAACTCAGGGATTTCAGAAACTAGCCTTATTAGGAATGATTTAAAAGCCCCATTCCTACTATCTTAAACAATGAAGTGCAGAACTGTAATTACTTATATTTGGACAGAGATATCTCAACACGTCTACATACCTCTGCTGTTAAACTCAGTATACCTTCGAGCCTTCAGAACTGTTGCTAGTTGGTCCAGCAATTTCTGTTGTTTGGAACTAAGACTGCTCCCCAGTATACCAAGAGGTCCATCTCTTGGCTGGCTGGAGCTCAGAACCTGCATGAACAGCAAATCCTACAATAAGCAGAATGTTTGGGAACACAAAGAAAGCAACTAACTTTTCTGATAGCTCTATTTAATAAGAAGAAGCATTTTGAAAAACAAGTCATGGCAAGCTTAGCAGACAAGGTCCCTAAATAAATCTGTTACAAACCAGCTCTAGAGGAAAAAGCTTGACATTAGAGGTACTTTGTTTAGCTTATGCAAGTTGCCAAAACAGCTTGTGCATCAGTTTTTTCTTCTTTTAAAAAAACAACAAACAAAAGACACTGGTGTTTATACATATAGCTGGTTGAATATTGTGTAAACACCCTTGCTGACTGCAGTGTTGAAGGTGAAAAAAGTTTCCTAATGAATTAGTGAAGCCTTCTACTTCTAGTGAGTTATTACCACCAGATACACTACCAATGTGTTGAGTAACCTATATAATTAATACCCACATTGCCTTGTACTAAAACATCCCTAATACATTGCCACGTTATGGAATGAAGGCTGTAGATTTTTTTATGTGGCTATTTCTAATGCAAAGTAAGAGGAACTGCTTGCTCAAGTGTTATGCTGGCACAGATGTGATACTTCAGCTCCTGGATCTTTCTAAGTACTCCCAGATTCCATAGTACAGATGTGTCTTCAAGATCCAGCTACCCTAAAGCCTCAGGCTTTGGATCACACCCTCCATATGAGCTGATAACCAACCACTGGCACACACTCATCCCACAGCAAATGCAATATTGATTGTTTTGTTTGAGACACAAGAGCTGCAACTCACATTTGCCACATGTGGGAGGAACAGTCATATCCTTGCCAAGTTAGGAGTTTACTTTTGGCCAATGGGTATCTTATTACCTCAGTGAGGTAGGAAGGGTCATAACTGGCTGTACACCCTGGAGTAGACTAGGACTGCTTGTACCAGCCACATCAGTTTAATCATCATTCATTAAGAAGCACAAAGCATTTCATAATGCAGTAGCTTGTTAAATCTGAATAACCCAATTTTGGTCACAAGTCCTGAGAAGTCTTTTGCAGAAAAGGGGAAAAACAAAAACCTCAAAACAATCTTTCAAAAGCTGTTTTCTACTCCTGAGCTGGTATCTTCACCATTTGACAAAGGACAGTACTGGAACAGCTTTTTAAAGATACACAAAGCACCTGGAGTAAAGACTGCTGCTGCTTTCAGCCAGTTTGGCAAGAAGAACAAATTTAAATACACAGAAAACCACCAACAACAGCAAAGTTCAATCAATGATACTTCAAGAATAACACAGCGTGCATTCCCACATTACAAGAAACACCCTTTTTTTTTTCTCAGATAAAGCTGTATCACAGCTTTGTGTGCCCCACATACATTCTAGAAATACTGTCCAAGTTACTTTCCCAGCCTATTTTATATCTCCCTGCAAAGACAGGTAACATACTGTACTTTGGACCAGGCCTTCAATATTTACAGGATTAACTTAGTCTTTAATAAGCAAAACAAAACAAAAACCCCACAAACACTTACCTCAGAGGATTGGTTAAGTGAAAGTGATTGATTCTTCACTGGTAACATTAGCACAGATTTCATCTTTTCACCTTCTGCATAGTCCACAGGCCGCAGACCAAATATATTCCTGGCAAAACAAGAACAGATGGGTTTAAGTAAATAAAATGTGACATGATTCTTAACTAACTGGGCACATGAGCTGGGTATCTTTCCCTCCCACTTTCTTATTAATATGTAATTTCAGCGAAAAGCCATGAAGCTTCAAGTAAGAACTGCATCCAAGACAGATGGACACTGAATTACAAGCTGCTGCATTCAGCTGAGAAGTAAAGGCTGTTCAGATCAGTATGTTCAGTTAAACAAACCACTCATTAAACTTTTCAAGATGCACTTTGATATCATTCACAAGACCCAGGAATTTCAATTCAATCTTTCGCTGCCAATCATACAACTAGGAAATGTGTTTTTGGTTTACCCTTTGGCCATAAAAGACATGTCAGAGGATTCTACACACTGTGTTAAACATTGGATGGAGCTTGCTGTGGTTATGCTTCTGTGGGGAAAGGTATCTGCTTCCTACTGGGGAACAGTGGCTCCTTTGCAGTTCCAAAATGTGAGCATGTACCTCATTTTCCCTCAGTGTGCTGTTACACAGAACATATCATAGCAAATTCATTCAGGTTTTTGATGGTTTGCCAATTGTGTTGAACACCAATCATCCTATGTGGCATCCCTTAGTTATTAGATATGCTTCAAGACCCATTTCCTCCTCCATTCTTTTAGCTTTACTCAGACAGATACAATTTGCTAGAAACACAACATCAAACATAGACATAACTTCTATCTCTTCTTCAGCACAAAACAGGTATAATTGCCATTAACAAACATGATCCTCGGCCAGTACTGTCAGGAAACATTCTGCTTGCTCTGCCTTTTGCAAGAATAATGGCTGATCCTCTTCTCCCCATCTCATGTAGCTCCAGCTCTCAAAAGGCATAATAAGAGCTTGTTATGAAGGGGGAGCTTGTCACCAAGAACAAAGTAAGTAACTGAAATCTGGCAAGCTTAGTCATCAAACAATTAAACACTTAAAGAGGTCAAAAAACCATTACATCTTCAAAGCACTGTCTCAGCCACACGTTCCTGTGCAGAGCAGGACTCTAGGAAGCTTTCTTTATAGGGAACTATATATAAGACCATAACTCAGCCCAGCCCAAAGAGAGGCTCCAATCCTTAAGTCTTCATTCTGACTTCACTGTGGGGCTTTGGCCAGTGCAAAGCTGAAAGATGCATCTGAGCTTAGCACCTTTCTATGCTCCTAGCTGAGCCCTGCTCACTAACAGAGCCTCTTGGGAAAACAACAATCCACAAAAAAATCCCATCCAGAAGGTTCTGGGATGGTATTTCACAATTGCTAATTTTACAGTATTACCAAGCCCAAGCTATTCTGTGTTGCTAATGAGCAAAGAGCTGGTATAATACAAAGTCTGCAGACTAAAAGATAATTGGTTAAATCTCAGCCCAGTCCTGGTAGTTGCAGCCTATTAAATATTGTCATGCTGCTCCTGCTTTGTCATGCATCATCAGGGAAGCTCTTGCCCTTTCTTTAAATAAGGGCCATATTCAACTCAAACTGCTGCAGGACAGCTCCTCCGAACAATGCATCTGGGCTGGTGGTGGAATTAGCACACACCAAAATCACCTTTAGACTGACCTTTTACTGTGAACTAAGCAGGGGGAGGAAATCATTGCACATGAGTAGCAGAGGATTGCGAGTGTCTCCCCCATAAATTACAGTGAGATCCTTGAATGTTGGAAAAATATTCTTGAATGTTTACCATAGATAATATATAGGCCACCACAGTTAAATATAGAATATTTTTTGCCAATTAAACTGCACAAATGGGGACTCCAGCTAACTCCTCTGTATTCACTTAATTTTTTTTTGCCCATTTTAAAAATCTTTTCAGTTGTTTCTTGCAGTGTGTTGCAAAATGCTATCCTGTCATGATGCAGCATTGACGAATTAATGGCTATTCATAGGATGTTAAGCTACAGTTAAAGTAAGAGCTGACAAACTTGGCAGCTCAGGTCTGAAGAAAAGGAACCCATCAAGGGATGGATTTAAGTTTTCAGTATTTGCAAAGGAGCAGACTGTTGAGCTTAAGTGAGAAAAAGGAGATGAAACAGGAGAAAAAGGGGTTTACAAAATAACATCTAAGGTAACGAACACGTGCAGACAATAGATTTAGAGTATGGTGTTGTTTTAACTTGCACATCCTTTTCAAAGGAAAAGGATGAAAACCAGATTAGTTCTTTTTATTTAGGCACTCACTAACCATCCAAAAACCATGATCAGAAAGAGATCTTTCCTAGGCTGTTGGCACAATTGTCACTTGAGTTACTTTATATTAAGAATGTGTACTATTTTTAGCCCTATGATCAGGATCAAGGACCAGATCTGTGCAGCCACAAGAACACCATTAAGCCACAGGAATGGGAAACAGAAGCTTTTTGCAAAAATATGTGCTCACATCCATCTATTCAGCCAAGCTGAACGTGGGAAATCATCCACCTTGTTCAGAGTAAAAAAAGCATTTTGACCTAGTTTGCAAAACAAAAGTGGGACACGTACACGAGGTCCACCCTAACACCCAAACACAGCATTTTTAGAAATATCAGTAACTGTGTTTTTGTCCTCCTAGTGTCAGCCTGGATGGATTGAGCATGGGTTTGGTGCATGTGACTGCTTAACAGAACAAGTTCCACACTCAGAAGACAGAACTGTTTCTATAAGAGAGAAATAAGTGTCTCTGGTGCTTAAGCTAGAATACAAGATCTCCAAGACATACTTCTTTCGACCAGAATGCAAGTGGACTTCTTGCAAGTTCTTTTAAACCTTCAAGAGTCAGATGTATCCTTTGATGCAAGCAGTCTCCTATTAGTCAGTCATCAAGGTACTGAACAGTCAGTAGAGGGCTATTATAGCTAGAACCAATTCCAATCAAAGAGTGAGATGTCTGTGCTGACAATAAAGATGAGCTCAGTGAAGAGCAAGTCAAAGTAATCTGCTGAGTATGACTTTAGATGAGATGACAGATGATATCTTAAGGATTGACAGATCAAAGAACTTCTTATGAAAAGCTTTAGAAATCGGATTCAGTTTATGGGGCAACACTGCTGAAGTCTTAGGTATGAAGACAACAGAGGCAAAAAAACTTACCAACTACTTTTTAAATGCTTCAGTCACTACGTGACCAGAGAAAAGAACAAAAACAGGAAGACACTTCTGTCACTTCTTTAGAAGCCACAAACTTGCACAGCTTCTGACACAAGCTAACAATGACTATGTAACAAATTGTAATCAGGAGTAGTAAGCTGCTCCAATTTGATACCAGAAGTTACTTACTGTTCCACAGCTGAGCCTAACCCAAGTTTTACCCAAGCTCCACAAGAGCTTGAACGGAATGGAAGTCCTGGAACCAGGTCCCAGTGCAATACTGTAACCACTGATTCCTATGAAAGACCTGACTAGTTTGGAGCTCTCCAGCCAGAATCACATTTTGAGAGTGTGCTAAGCAGAAAACTTTTTTGAACCTGACGAAAGAAAATTCAATCTGTATAGTCAGAAAGACCAGCTTAGACATCCAAACAGAGCCAGGGTTTTAATTAACCTGCTGTCAGCAAGAAATTAAACATGCTGTCTTACACTTAGACAGTGAAGTGCTGCATTATCTTGACTTGGAAAAAGCAGACAAAGTTATGTCAGTGTCATGGGTCTAATACCTCCTGAAATTAACCACAGGTTATAATAACTTTTGCCCCACAACCATTTATAATAAAGGACCACAGTCTATCCCTATGCACTCCCACAGACTCACAACTACTCAAAGACAGCTAAGACCTAAAATAATAGGACAACACAACAATTTTTACTAATGCTAAACTTACTGTGCATGAAGAACTGGCAAGATAGCCCATTTGAGTGAAAGCATTTAGGAAGTACTGTGAAATTGCAAATGCACAGATCTAATTTTTCAAATCACTTGACTTGCTATGAAGCAAGAAAAAAAGACAGGATTCAAGAGAGTGAGCACATGAAAAAAAGCTACAAAAGTATAAATTAGCTATGTGTAGGAGATTAACTTAAAAAATTTAACTAGACCAGCAGGACAATTAATAGGTCCACTGGTCCATATAATATTTTTCATTTGTAGTTCATATCTTCCTCAGTCAGTGAAAACTTTGGAAGGCGAATGAAGTGCCACATCTTACAAATTAAAAAAAAAAAAGAAAAATTTTTAAAAAATGCTGGTCAAGGAATACTGAAATCCCAGGATTGCTTTCTGGTAAAAGAGGTAGCTATCTGTACTTGCTTGGTCCAAAAGATATGTAGCTGCTTCATACTACATACAGTTAACTTCTTAATGCACTAGGTATTAACACGCCACGAGAAAAATTAGCTTGAAAGACACTTGGGAGTGAGGTGCACTTGATGGGTCTGTGAACCTGATGATCTAAATCTGAAGTTGTGAAGCCTGATGATCTAAATCTGAAGTTGTGAAGCCTGAGATCCCTGATGGATGGGGTTATGCTAATACCTGTGTGTCTTGTGAATTGAGGTCCCTTTGAAAGAGGTTGTATTTGCTCCCAGATATATCTTAGATCTCTCTACAGACCAGTGGATCTTACCTGCCTTTGGGCCTGCTGTCAGTAAACATTGCAAATCTTTTGAAAATATTTAATCTTGAACAACTGAGTATCATACTAAATTTCAAAACTACTGCTCTAAGCAGGCTATTCAACACAAGCTATATTTTTGTTCCAATAAATTAACTCTCCAACACACAAGCAACACTAAGACAAAACGGAGTTGATTCTACAGTCAAAACAGGAGCAAAACATGAGTCACTTTTGTGAGGTTTCATGCTATATATTTCATACTGTCCCAAGTAACATTTGAATACGTTTATCATGTGCACATTTTATTTAGCTTTTAGCTAAAAGAAAAGACTAAGTAACCACAGTGAACTCATCAAACTTTGCTCCCCACCCTCATGAGGTAATGAAGAATCACTAATGCCAAGATAAAGAGGGCCTCTCCTGGGCTGAAAGTTAGTTCATTGAGACCCTGAAGAGCCCACTAAAGGACTAAAGAGAATTTCATACATATAAAAAAGAAAACTAAAATTAGACTAAATTATCAGTGTGGCAAAATTGGTTAGTTACAGTCTTAACTCACACACTGCGTTCCTCAGGTGCATTCCTAAAGAAACTAAAGCTTTGAGAAGGGTTGTAAATTCTCATCCCTGCTCAATATCTGCATGAAAGACCCTAAAGTAATAACGGGAAGGTGAGTAGATCCTGCATTAAGTACAAAGAGGCCAATTACAACCAACCATACTAAAAAAAACAACCTAATTGCAACATCTTAAGTGATCACCCTGTTCTCACTTCCTAATTTTAAAATTGTGGTCTGCAGCTCTCAGGGATCTAGGGGAAAGTCACTGAAGAGAAGCAAGCTTCTTGTCAGATGTGACTTCATTATAAGAGCACCTGCATCCACCAGAAAAAAATCTTTAAACCTTTTTTCATTAACGAAGGTTCAAATCCACTTATCTAGACAAAGCCAACCACTGTTAAATTAGAACAACAACTACCAGAGGCAGTGGAATAAAAAAGTCCTGTGAGATCTGCAAAGTCATGATCTAGGAAAAGATCATGGCACAACTCATTGTTGAAGCAAGCAGGGAACAGAAAGGAAGGAAGGCACAAGACATTCTCAGAAGTCCCAGACATCCTGTTCTTGTTTCTACTGCTTCTTGGTAGTGTTTGGAAGAGGTCAGTAAACCCTTACTTTTCAAGCTTGAACACTTTGCTTGTCCTTCCCTTCCTCTGTATCTCTAATGCTCCCTGTAAAAACAGGCAGGGGGAAGAACCTACCCCTTTCCATCATCAATGCAATAGTAACATGTGCAGTAGCATTTCAGCCAGAGATAGAGAACGAGCCTACAAAAGATTCAGAAGCCTCAATTTTTCCAGGGGGAACAGAAATGACTGGATTTTTGCCAAAGCATCTGTGCTTCCTTTTGCCAGACAATTGAAACAAAGATTAAAAGCAGTTAAATTTGTTCCCAGGAAGATTTTTAGTTAAATGAAAAAACTGCATACATATTTATTAACACCACACACACAAGATTCCAAGTACTCTGGAGGTTAAGTCAAGAACAGTGCATACTTAGAAGTGGGTCAGAAGCCACTTTTGATACTCTAGAGGTACTGCAAGACAGAGCTAGTTGCAGAGTTATGACATAGCCTGTATCACTTTTTTTATTCCTGAACATTACCTGTCTTCAGTGAAAAGCTAGAACAGAGTTCAAGGTTTACATAAACCACTCTCTCCATGATTAAAAAGCTTCTGTTTCAATAAAAAGTCATGTTTGCTCAGGTAGAATGAGCTGGAAGAGGTTCAGCTTCATCTCAGTTTGCTTGAACACAAGCAGCAGAGACTAAGGCTAGTGAGAGACTTGGGAGAGTCCACTGCTGGCATGTCGAGTCATGGCTGTACAAGTCTACCAGTGCTTCAAGTCCTGACAAATCCTTGTGTCAAAGCTGTTGGCTTTGCTATGCTCTCAAATCCCAGAGAGATACCTGGTATCACACAACTAGTTCCTAATATTCAAGTAGCTTGAAAATTAGCCTCTGAAGCTGCCAGCTTTTCAAGGTGTAATGCATTAGTCTTTGTTGTTCAAGTACAAAGTGAAGATGAACAACAGATCCTTGTTTTATTTTTTTCATGTTGAAGTTTAGTGAGTTTGTTGGTTTGTTTTTTTTTCTTTTGAACTCCAGTATATTCAAGATTGGGACTGTTTTTTAAAATCCTGTGGCTTTCCACTGACTACCTTAATTCTGTAAGCTTCGAGAGCAAATAGCAAGAGCAGAAGTGATTAAGCTGAACTTGTTCTGCTTAATGTGACTGGCAAGGAAATTAATGTCATGCAAGACTGCATCCTATCCTGTTACTATACACACACACCTATAGACAACATGCATTGGACTCAAGTTTTATACACACAGGCCCTGGCACAACAGCAATACTACACCACCTAAAACCACATTCAGTGTCTGAAATGCTAATAGCTTGCAGGGTTATTCATAGACTAAGAGATTCTTTAGCACCTCCTATGCACAAATACCAAAATACTCATGGCGTGTAAATGTGTAGAAGATTCAACTGAAAATATTTATAAGCTTTTTTTTTTTTTTTTTTAAATTAAAAAGTGTACCAAGGATTAGTACTTTGATCCAGAATGAAAAAAATAAAAAACACTCCCCTAATCTCTGCCTGTGCCTGTCATTTGTGAAGGTAGAATAGACTGGACCAAAACACCTTCTGCAAGTACTGTAGTAAAGGTAAAGACACAAAAACACCTGTAGCAGTTCAAAGCTCATCAAACTCAGCATCTTAGGTCTGACAGTAGTTATAACAAGATAACAAGAGCAAAATGTAAGAATAGGATAAGCTTTTTTTTTTTAACTTTCCTAGTACAGTTTCCAATACTCCTGCTATCTATCACTTAGAGGTCCTCAAAAGCTTAAAACAAAGAAAGACAGAAAGGAAACACCTACCTGGAAAAGGAGTATAAGTATAGCAGAGCATATGATTAACACCCTCCTCACTTCACATAAATTAGATTTATTACTAGGCTTTACTTCATATCGACTTAACAAACACCCCAGAAGTTGTAGCTGTAGTTAATGCCACAGTTAAAATACCATTCCAGATGTACTTACACTGCATCACAGGAGGCACCATGCAAAAGCAGCAGCTCAGCAATGCTCACGTGCCCGTTCTTGGCAGCATCATGGAGTGGCGAGTCATTCTGATAGCCTGTGGTATTCACCAGTGCCTTGAATTGCAGCAACAGCTCCACCACTTCTTTGTGCCCATGGTTGCATGCTTCATGCTAGTCAGGTAAACCCACAGGAGAGGAAACTCAGGTGAAACAGAACTCAGAGGAAGGACTCCTGTCACACCCCTTAACACATTCTTTTTCAAACACCTCTCAGTAGGTGGTTGGGGAAGACAATGAAAGGATACTGCATTGTATTCCACACAGGAATTAACCTTGGAACTAGCACTATTAAAAGGCAGAAAAACTGAGCATAGACCAGTTGTGTGCAAATTAGACTGCCAGGAACAAAGCTTCCCAGATTACAAACTCTGTCAAGAGTATGCTTCAGGAGAGGAAGAAGTTATGGTTGAAAAGAACCTTTTGTTTATTTTCTGTACTTGAAGTGAATAATTTTTTCATTCAATTACTTGACACATTTCCAAAATGGTAAAAAACACCAAGGATATTAAGAAACCATAAAATATACACATTCTCTGCAATTGATCATTTTCTAGTTATCATAGTTATATTTTCTGCACTTGTAGGCTGATAGATTTCTTGGCATGCACTACCCTAGCAGAGCAGAGTTAGATTTGGGCAGTAGCTGCTAATAAATTTGCTTGTTTATCACCACTTCTTCACTTTGCATAATTCTTTGTCACCTAAATGTGTGTAAAAGGAACTAAGATATGAGAGACGAAAGGAGGGATGCAATGAAATCTAATTACAGACAGGTAACAACAGAAAGAAGACTTCAGCACTTACCAGTGGTGTCCAGCCAGCATTATCTTTGACATTGGGATCTGCCCCGTTTTTCAGCAGCTGTTCAACAGTTGCTAAGTCACCCTACACAGGAAAAAAAACCCACAGTTACTAAACAGTTACTAAAAAGCAATGAAGGCACACAAAGACAACAAAAATTTGAGAGAAGTAGAATCATAACATTAACTGCAATAAAAATGTTATTACACAAGTCTTCCATTTATTGCCAGGATACCAAAAACTCAACTGTTTTGGAGACCACTGATTTACCATTATTGTTCATTTAGAGGCACCTAGATGTTTACACAGATATATATTTTTAGATAAAAACATACACATAAGACTTAATAAATGGGCATATTTGTGCTGCTTGCAATTTGTGTACTACAGTCAACTACAAGGATTAAAATCAGGAACATTTATTTATTCACAAATTCCTTTAACATTTTTGTCAAACTAATCTAAGCAACTGGCTAGAAACATGCACAGGTGAAATAGACTAAGAAGCCTGACAAGCTTCTATAAATTGTTTTCCCACAAGCCTAAAGGAAAAGGGAAAGACTTCTATTTAGCACTGCAATTATTATTACTCATGCTGAATCTCCCTGACACTTTCTCTGACAGTTATTCTACAAACACAATTTTAATTTGCTTTTTGGAAGAACACTATATTCTGATTTTACTATAAATAAGGAAACGTATGTGGAAAAGGGTAGAAATTGATGCAGAGATTAGGAGAAGAGGAAAAAGGTTCAGTAGAGAAAAGGCAAAGGAAGCAACTGGGCAGAATTTGTGAATCAGAGGTTTTGACACTCTTAAAAGTCAAGAGTAAGAGAGAAAATCAGTAATAAGATTGGAGCATATACAGATCAAGCTATAAATAGGCAAGGAGAAGCCTCCTGCAGAAGCTGAGGCAAGGAAATCTCTGCAGTGCAGGTCTTAAAAGAAGATGGAAAAACTAACTCAAAGAGACCAAAACCAAGCAGACTCTGACCTCCTTCTCCTTTCACCATCCAAGCCCCAGCAGGTTGGTTCTTAAAACTCACTTGGTGCCCTGTCAGCCAGTTCCTGCTTCTGGCATTTGTTACTACAGAGCAGCAATGGCAAAGGTCTGCCTTACTGGAAGAGGCACCACAAAGGCTGTTCCAAAATGCTTGCTACAGTGCTGGGAACCCTCCACAGCTGCAGATACCAAATAATAGGGCCAGACTGTCCCACACCTCTCAAGCATTTACCTGCACTATAACAGATTAGGCACAGTTA